AAGTGCAACGACTTCACTGAGGTCGGAACTCTGAAGGAGCTCAGCAGCAGCAGCACTGCCAGCAGCAGCGTCGTCCCTCCCTGACGCCTCTAGCATACTGCCCTTTTCAGTTTCGAAAGCGAAAAGACAACAGCTACGAAGAAGATGATACAAAAAGAACGAAATGACAACGTCGATGCAGCTGCTACAAAGCAACAACACGAAAACACTGTACTTTGAACTCTGACATCGACATTTTGCACAGATTCAGTCTAGTCGCGATGCTTGCCACGTGCTGCGCCAGCACTCGCTGGCTTGTCACAGGTCGCGTTGGCCCGCTCGACAGGATATGTCGCACTTTGCTCGAAAACATCGGTGGTGTTTATCGCGTTTTGCAGTAGAACGTCAACTTCAACGTTGATTTTCAGTGGGATATGTCTCGTTTTGGAGAATTCTTTTTGGCCATCAGATGCAGTGATCCCTACTGATTCGATTGACACCGAAAACGCCATATGCATGAGATTGGCGTTTAGCGCGTTTTGCAATGAAGCCATTCATGTGTATTTTGCTATTTGCCTTCGGCAAACTGAGCCCCCTACGGACGGTGGATGAACTTCACATAGAAGACAAAAAGAACCAAGGAACTACAAGTTCTGCTATAATGTCCACTAACACCACCAGTTACTAAACAATCCGCCAGGCGAAATAGCACGTCATAGTACATTTGAGATCAGCGGGAAGAAGATGACGACATCCACTAATTTAGTATCTGTGCACACGAATCTGCTGTGTGTGTGACTCTGTGTGTCAGCTATGATATCATCCCCTGTGGTTCCATGCCTAGCATGTACGTCTGAACCATCCTGCAAAGTTTGAATGACGTAGGTTGAGCGATCGCTCCGCGAAACATACTTTTTGAAATTCTCTTCATAGTATATCTTCCACCATTGAAATTTCGAATTTCTTGCTGAGAGGGGTGGCTTGCAACCTCGATATGGCTTGTTCCAGGCATGCTTTGGAGCCATCTCCTGTTGAAGTAGTGGCGGTGATCTGCCCTGCAACTGCTACAACAAAAAATGATTCGATCTGAGAAAGGGTGAGACCGCGAATCTCGGTTGAATATTGAGTATTTCAAGCCTTTTCACGACGAAGATGGAGTTCTTTTTGGAGAAGGACGTCGCGGCAAAGGACATGGTGTCCGACTTCTGGCGTCTTGTGAAGCCAGGGATCATTTGTCCAGTCAGGTCGGCAGCCTAACCGTCAGTAAGCTTGTGTTTGGATCCCGTTCTGCTCGATGTGGTAGATCACAAACAATTTGATAACGCACAAATTGATCTCAGCATCGTGCGTACGGTATTTTATATTCAGAAAATCCCAAAGTGTCTCTGTGTGGCCGTCCTATGCCACGAGAAACTCCAATCAGGCTCCTATGTCCTCTGCCTTCATGATTGAATGTCCACTTCGTTTGAACAACGAACACAACAATCGAGGACGGCTTTGCAATGAAAAATACAGCTTTACTGGAGCTAAAAAAAAGAAGAAAAAAAACGTGCTCAGGATGAGACTCGAGTACACGCATACTCTCCCAGCAGGTGAAACGCACATTTTTGTGAAAAATGCGTGTCGCCGACTGACCAGTAATTTCGCCTGACGACCTCCTGTGATACCATTGCAGGACACTGACAGACTAGAGCTAGAGCTGATAGCCAGTTACTTGTAGAACGTAATTACCGTCGGTCAGTGTCGTGCAATGTTATCACATGAGCTGATTGTTCAGTAGTCGGTGGTGTTAGTGGACATTATAGCGTAGCTTGTAGTTCCTTGGTCCTTCTTCTTTTCTATAAAATTGGATCCTTGGCTCTCCATCCGAGTCCATTCCTTTTGCTGTTCCTTGTGCTAGATGGTCCACGACCAGGAGACAGGATATTAATCATTGGTGCTGGCCCCGCTGGTGTGCATATGGCTATGAAGATGCAGAAGCGAGGACATGCCGTCACTATCCTGGAGAAAGAGCAGATTGGAGGCAAGGCGTACACGGTACGGCGCCTGTGTGCGACTTGCTGTTTGCATGAAATGTGTTCTTCTGTGTGTGTGTGTGGGGGGGGGGGGGGGGGGGCTGTGTGTGTGTATATATGTGGGTGCACATCCAGTGCATTTGCAGATTTGCGTGCTTCTCTTGCGACGGGCGTATACATGGTACATGGTACATGGTGTTTGTGTGTGTGTGTGTGTGTGTGTGTGTGTGTGTGTGTGTGTGTGTGTGTGTGTGTGTGTGTGTGTGTGTGTGTGTGTGTGTGGGAGGGGGGGGGGGGGCTGTGTGTGTATATGTGCGTGTGTGTGTTTGTGTGTGTGAGGGGGGGGGGGCTGTGTGTGTATATGTGCGTGTGTGTGTTTGTGTATGTGTATGTGAGGCATCGGCAGCAAGAACCGGGGTCCCAGCGAGTTTTCAAAATGTCAATATTTGCGAAAATCCGAACCGATGTCGTTTTTCAGTTACCTCAATCCAGCCGAAAAGATTTCTTGTGCTATCGCCTTGAAAGTGCCTCCTTTTTGTTGGCTTCACTATAATTTGTCGCCGTCACCTTTGTAGTTTATCCACCAGGCACTTGGGACATCCAGGGAGATGTTTTCAGCCGCCATGGAGGCATTTGCGCACTAGGCAGCGCCTACAAAATCATGCGCTCGAAAGAGAGCGAAACCAAATAATTTCTTGACGGAACGATCCCGTCACAAATTCTTGATGGAGAACGAGCGACTAGAATATTTGGCAGCTGGATCTCCAGAGATACTCCGCTGTCTGCCATAGTCCACAGCAAGAAGAATCAGGTGAAAGGGACGAAGGTTCGCTCAGATGACAAGTTATCAGCGGAGGCAGCGCAGACGATGAGTTTTAGAGCTCCGTAACACGAAATGGTGACGGGGACAGGCGCGCTGAGAGTGCAGAATGAGACTCAGTACTCCGTGGCAACTATTCGCACCTGGATGAATTGGTGAGATACGGAGACAGCCCAGAATGAACTAAACCTTACTTGATATAAGATGTTTTGTGAATAAATTGTTGCAAGTATACATGCACGCTTGCTGTGCACGCGAAATTCGTTGCAGTATAATGCATGTATCTACGAGCCGCTGTGTGTAGGAGAGCAAGACATGCTTGGTGGATGTATCTGGCTTTGCCCAGCATGCCTGTCTAGTCTTGTAGGTTCTACCCAGCCATAGGAAACGTCAGTTGCTTGGCTTCTTTCTGTCGGAAAAGTTTGCCTTCAACACAGCACCAGACCTGCATAGGACAGGGGTTGAGTTTTCAAGTTCATAGCAGCAAGTGCAGGCAATGATGTAATATTCTACAACTCTGTGTTTCCCTGAATACCTATAAATACGCTAAGTTATTCTCAACCACTCCATCAAAGCCATCAGTAACTGCGTTCCATTTTGCCATTTGCAGACCATTTGTGTCGACCTTCACCGGCCCATGATTTCGGACATTCTTTTTACCATCTTGGAAGGTGCCCAGAGCTCCAAAATTTGTCCCATAGATCACTCATTTAGTGAACAGCCATCAAAAACTCATTTTCTCCAAATCTGATCATCCAACCCTGGTTTTTGCTGCCCATGCCTCATGTGTGTGTATGTGTGTGTGTGTGTGTGTGTGTGTGTGTGTGTGTGTGTGTGTGTGTGTGTGTGTGTGTGTGTGTGTGTCTGTCGATCTGCCTGGCGGGTGTCTGCCGTTGGGCCGAGCCTCGGCGGTCCTTCCCATGACCAATCTCAACGGGTGGACTGTCTTAAGTTATCTGCCACCGTTCGTTTCGTCGGCCAGGTGACAAAGCAAGACACAAGTGTAGCGCAGAACGAAGTCTCCCCATCCAGGAACAGCGTGGTGCTGTGCAGTGTGGTACATGCAGGAGGTGGTTTCACTCTCGTGGTGGCTTGCGTGTACATCATTGTTTGCCCCTGGAACCATCGGAAGCGTCCGCGCCGGCATCACCTATTCCGCTCAACGTCCCAGCTTCTCTCTTGTGTGTGACATGCAATCGGCAGTTCAAGTCAGTGCCTGGTTTCAGACGTCACAAGTGCGACCGTGGCCATCGAGCAACCAAGTCTGATAGAGCGTCGTATGGTGTTCGCTGTTCTCGCTGCAGCCGTCAGTTCCGTCGACAGAGTGACCTGAGTCGTCATCTCCGTTTCTGCTCCTGACAATGACTCTGGCTCCTTTCGGAGTGGTGTGGCCCTTGTGGCAACCAAGCTACAGTAGTAGTAGTAGTAGTGTGTGTGTGTGTGTGTGTTTGTGTGTGAAAAAAAGAAAAAATGGAAAAATGAAAAATAGGGATTCACTGGCCAGAAAAAGTCACTTCAACAGCTGTGTGGTGGATACCAGGCTAAAAATAGTGGCGGTCAATTCATCAGCCTTGCAAGCTGTTGAATGGTGTAATCCCGGCACAAGTTGCTATGTCTAACATAGCTGTTGCGCAACGGGTCTAGAGTGAAAGACTTTTCATGGCTTATTTATGTTGTTCTTTAGTTTTATTGTGTAGTGGTTTAGTCTTGACTTTGTTGCATTGTTTTGGTTGCATGTGCAGTCTTCTGTACATGTATACACCATGCAACGCTTACGTCATCGTCGCGCGTGCAACATTATTTCGCGCGCATGCTCATTATATACTGCCGCAACGTTTGTCCTTTTCTTCAGTTATCAGTTTTGCCTCGTCGTGTCCAGTCTTCTCGTCTGTCCGTCTTCGTCTTGTCCAGATATTATGTAGAACTTTTAGTTCAGTTGCGCTGTTGTGTGTGGCGAGTCGGATGGGCAGGGAGGCTGGGCCCCTGACGCCTGGAGAAGATGTGCTGGTGCACGAAATTGGCGACCACGCCAGGATTGTCAGGAAGACGAGGAACTTGCAGGAACTCCGGTGCGAAGGAAAACGCATCGAGAACAAATAACCATTAGTACGTCTACGTCGTTGGGAGGCAGTTTGCACCGTGCATGCGTGGACGAGTGACCAACGAGTGAGCTGCGGATTGTGTGACCTCCGAGGGAGCTGCTTGAGTCCGACGACAAGGACGGTGCGAAGGAAAACGCATCGAAATCAAATAACCATTTGTACGTCTACGTCGTTGGAAGGCAGTTTGCACCGTGCACGAGTGGACGAGTGACCAACGAGGGAGCTGCGCCGCTGTCACAGTCCGCAGTTTGTACCTGGGATTGAGTGACCTCCGAGGGAGCTGCTTGAGTCTGACGACAAGGACGGTGCGAAGGAAAACGCATCGAAATCAAATAACCATTTGTACGTCTACGTCGTTGGGAGGCAGTTTGCACCGTGCCAGACTGGACGAGTGACCAACGAGGGAGCTGCGCCGCTGTCCGCAGTTTGTACCTGGGATTGGGTGACCTCCGAGGGAGCTGCTTGAATCCGACGACAAGGACGGTGCGAAGGAAAACGCATCGAAATCAAATAACCCACGGTACGGTCGTCCACAGTGGAGGAACCCTGCGGGGCGCTGTTCTCGACGACAAGAAGAAGGACATGGAGGGTGCGAAGGAAAACGCATCGTGAACAAATAACCCGCCATGAGTGTGAAGGAGTTTAGAAGGTGCTCCCGCTTTGATTTGTTGTAGAAGTTTGTAGTTTTGACTTGCTCGATTTGTTTGATCTGTACTCGATGTGTTGGTGCCTGGCCTGGTGATAGGTCGGATGTACTGTAGTTTATTGCCTTGATTTGCTGGTGCCTGGTGACAGTTCGGAAGCTGACTTCCGTTTGTATTTTCTATTGATGGTTCATTTGTTATTATTTATTTTGCCGTTTGTGAGTCTTAGATTATCTATGCGTGCAGCATAGATTATAATGTAGTACAGTTTGCAGCCTCCTTGAGCCTTGAAAAGGTCTTTGGCGGGGAGTATGTTGCGCAACGGGTCTAGAGTGAAAGACTTTTCATGGCTTATTTATGTTGTTCTTTAGTTTTATTGTGTAGTGGTTTAGTCTTGACTTTGTTGCATTGTTTTGGTTGCATGTGCAGTCTTCTGTACATGTATACACCATGCAACGCTTACGTCATCGTCGCGCGTGCAACATTATTTCGCGCGCATGCTCATTATATACTGCCGCAACGTTTGTCCTTTTCTTCAGTTATCAGTTTTGCCTCGTCGTGTCCAGTCTTCTCGTCTGTCCGTCTTCGTCTTGTCCAGATATTATGTAGAACTTTTAGTTCAGTTGCGCTGTTGTGTGTGGCGAGTCGGATGGGCAGGGAGGCTGGGCCCCTGACGCCTGGAGAAGATGTGCTGGTGCACGAAATTGCTCAAGACCCGTTGCGCAACAATAGCTGTTCGCTATCATCGCTCCCGCGATGGGCATGTCTAAGGTCTAAGGTTTGTGTGTGTGTATGTGTGCGTGCGTGCATGCTTGCGTGTGTGTGTGGGGGGGGGGGGGGCTGTGTGTGTGTGTGTGTGTGTGTGTGTGTGTGTGTGTGAGAGGGGGGGGCTGTGTGTGTGTGTGTGAATCCCTATTCACACCAGAAAAATCCACTTCAATCAGCTGTGTGGTGCAAATTAGTGGCGGTCAATTCATCAGCCTTGCAAGCTGTTGAATGGTGTAATCACAGCACAAGTTGCTTTGTCTAACACAGCTGTTCGCTATCATCGCTTCCGCGATGGGCAGGTCTGAGGTCCAATGTGTGTGTGTGTGTGTGTGTGTGTGTGTGTGTGTGTGTGTGTGTGTGTGTGTGTGTGTGTGTGTGTGTGTGTGTGTGTGTGTGTGGGTGTGTGTGTGTGTGTGTGTGTGTGTGTGTGTGTGTGTGTGTGTGTGTGTGTGTGTGTGTGTGTGTGTGTGTGTGTGTGTGTGTGTGTGTGTGTGTGTGTGTGGCTTTGCAAGCCCGCGAGTGGAGCAAACTACCACACGAAGACGACGACTTGGAACGACTCTGAGCGTTGGCTCATGGAATGTTCGCTCTGTTGTGGAGAGTGATGGACCAGTTCTAGCGGCAGCCGTGAGAGGAATCGTTTCCGATGATAAGCCAGATCCATAGCTGCTGGAGATGGCTCTCTCGAACGTGGTCCCGCTCTTCGTTCTATATTGTCAGCCCCGTAAGGGGACACGTGACCGTAATGGCAGTGTTTACAAGGACCAGGTGTGTGTGTGGGGGGGGGGGGTGCGTGCGTGCGTGCGTGCGTGCGTGCGTGCGTGCGTGTTGCCAACAGGCTTGGCTGCTTGAAGTTGACTTGCGGTATCTGCCACCTTTGTTGGTTGCAGGGTTCATATACTTTCTATTTGAAGTATACATACCTGTTGACCATGGACTGCTTCTGGCTAGATTAAAACTCTTGTGTAATACTGAACTGGTGCTAGTTAAGCTTATATCAGATCCACTCTGATTTAGCCACCCACACTAGTACCAAGTACTACCCTCACTGGGGGCAGGAGTAACTGCAGTTGGATCACGGGACGAATACCCTGATGCCGTCAATCCTTTTTCTGCACCTTGTCCTCACCCACTTAGGCCGTCATCACACCACGTTCTCCGACTCCCGTTTACGTCTACGTCTATGGTGAAAAAACCAAAACGGGTGGTCGCACAGTTCTTGACGCGTACACGCAGTCAGGTTTTTGGAGAAATTTGAACCCACGTACATCGAAGTACAGGGTCGCTCGGAAAAAGGCTGGGGGAGATACGCACGTTCATACAAAAAGTCGTATACGTCTCCCGTTTCCTCTGCTCCCGTTTTCACCCCGTATACGGATCATCATGACCACCGACCAAAAACTCCTTACGTGGACGTAGACGCAGCGCTTTGTACCATGGTGTGATGACAGCCTAACTGAGGTGTGGTGAGCCCGTAAGTGGGATCATTTGCAAGTCCACCCATTGTTTGGGGATTTCAGGGGGTGTCGGCCGTTGGGCGGTTCAATAGCCAGTTGAGTCCTCTTTCCCAGATTCCTTTTGAGTTCCTCTCTCCCTTCTCCCGGGGAGACTTACGTGACCACTTTTGGCAGTGACCAAGTACAGTACAGCGTGTGTGTGTGTGTGTGTGTGTGTGTGTGCGTGAGTGCGTGCGTGTGTGTACTTAATGTAGACGAGATGCACCGCAACATAACACTCTGTGTTGCAGCATAGCGTTGATTCGATCTGTGTCTAAGCTGCATTGGGATCAGTGTCTGATGTTAGTCACTTTTGCTGTGTGCCTTCTGAGCACGCGCGTGTGCTCCGAACCCCTCTGTATATGTTATCACAGTGCTGTCGGGGCAATGTTCCTGCCCAGGCGCGTGCTCGGCGATGGGCACGGGGGGCACGTGCACCCCCCAACATTTTCAATCTGGGTAATTGCAATTGTAATGTATGCAAATATGCTCTAAAATTCAAGAAAGGTTGCAAACAAATTGCAGAAAATTGCCGGGGGGGGGGCTCCCTCGGCTCCCGTGCACCCCCCTAGTTGGGGGGCCGAGCACGCCCCTGCTGCCGGTGTTTGTGTAACGCTTGCATGTGTGTGTGTGTGTGTGTGTGTGTGTGTGTGTGTGTGTGTGTGTGTGTGTGTGTGTGTGTGTGTGTGTGTGTGTATCTGTATGTGTACATGTGTATGTGTGTATGTGTCTGTGTGCGTGCATGCACGCGCGTGTGTCCGTTTGTGTGTGCTGCTGCACGTCTGCGTTGCCGTGTTTAGGTGAATCACCGCGAAGCAGCTCACGAGATGGGTGCATGCTACCTGAGCCCGGACTACGAGCTAGTTGTGGAGCTGCTGCAGGAGTATGGCATGTCTTCTCAACTCGATGTAACTACTATAAAACATGAATTGTAATTTTAGGTGCACTGGATGCAAGTACAGTAAAACCTGTCAATGTGACCACCTGTCCAAGAAGACCACTGGAACCAGGATCAAGGGATGCTATTTCCTGTGAAATGATCCTGGATAAGGAGACCACCTGGTACCAGAGACCACATTTTGAAGGTCCCTTGAGCGGTCGTCTTAGACAGGTTTCACTGACTACCTGGTACCAGAGACCACATTTTGAAGGTCCCTTGAGTGGTTGTCTTAGACAGGTTTCACTGACTACCTGGTAACAGAGACCACACTTTGAAGGTCCCTTGAGCAGTTGTCTTAGACAGGTTTCACTGACTACCTGGTAACAGAGACCACATTTTGAAGGTCCCTTGAGCAGTTGTCTTAGACAGGTTTCACTGACTACCTGGTAACAGAGACCACATTTTGAAGGTCCCTTGAGGGGTCGGGTCGTCTTAGACTGGTTTCACTGTAATGTAAAACATGTAATTTTAGGTGCATCCAAATTTCGGTGCCAGGGATTTGCCAGGTTTCAGGTGTAATGTAGAATTAGGTGACCAGCGTTCCCTTCACATACCCTAGTGTCTTTTAGGTGTAATTTAGATTTAGGGGCCTGATTTCTCTACCGAAATCACCGAAATTAAAGTTGCACCGAAAATAATAGTGCAACTATGCACATATCACAGGTAGACAAGGGCAATGCGGGGTAGGCTGTGGGCATGGGATCACGTTCAAGAATGTGAAACTTCCTTTTATTTAACAAAGCAAAGAATATAACAATTGAAGCCGATATCATACCATGATGGACTACACAAGAGAGATTGGAAGCTTTGTCACAACTCTGAGTTTCACGTATTACTACGATCATCAGGCCTGATGATCGTATTGATACGTGAAACTCAGAGTCGTGACAAAGCTTCCAATCTCTCTTGTGTACAAGGCTCTGCCCTGCATGGGTATTGAGCACTCTTCGGACAGTGAAGCACACCACTTGATTACCATGATGGACTCAGTATTAAAATAAACATGTGAAGCAGAGTTCAGACACGGTTTTTTCATATGTTTTATTTTATTAGTCCATCGTGGTATTATGCTGGCTTCCATTGTTTTATTCATTGATTTGTTGAAACGTCTTTCTCCGAAACCGCTCTTTGTCCTTTTTTTCATTAGTGATGGTATGTATAAAGTTTTGAACGGTACCGCTCGGCTGTTCAATACAGTAAAAGCCTGTAACGCCCACCCGGTACAAGACTCGTCACCCGTGTACACGCCCCGGTGCCGGGTGTCAGCACTCTTGTCCCGTTTTTTGGCCCACCTCTCTGTGTGAGAACGCCCACCGGTGAAAGCACAGGTCCGCTACATAGGCCGGTGCATGCACAGCTCCTTTGTGCATGAAACGGTACTGTACTAGCAGTTTAGCTTAGTGTACAGTAAACTATGCTAACCTTGTACGTACGTACGTGTGACGTTAGTAGCATGGCATGGTGTGGAAATAAGTCTGATTTCATTTTATCCGAAATAGCGCCTAGGTCCGCAGTAGCGCACGGGCCCAAATTGACGCCATGTTCTGGACCTTCACTAACGTTTTCGCCCAGGGCCTTATTACGGCCTCTTACAGTAATGCAACAAACGTTGCTTCCGCAGGTAGCAACGTGTCGGCTGAGGTTGCGTTGGGGAGAGAGGGAGAGTTTATTGCATTGCCGCACTGGACTCCCTGCTGCAAACGCAGTTATGAATTATGGAGTTCCCGTACGTACAATACTGGTCATTGTATGCACAGGATCTGTGTAGTGGTCAACTTCTCTCTGTCTCTCTCTCTCTCTCTCTCTCTCTCTCTCTCTCTCTCTCTCTCTCTCTCTCTCTCTCTCTCTCTCTCTCTGCCTTATTGCTCATTTTTCTGGCTTAGGTCAAGCAAAGGACAGTCTGGACTGACGCAAAGAAGGACGTAGGCGGAAAGCTCCGGGACTGGTTCTACCAGGCCGCAAAGGAGGCAGAAAACGACCTGGATGCCAAGGACAGCGCCATTGCTTGGGAGATCTTCAAGCAGGCTATACATTACATATCCCACCACCGACGGTTGCTACTGAACTACGAGGAAACAGGATTTCTGCCGCCGCGGCCAAGCGCCGAGCACTTGGAAGAGCTGCAGATGAGCATCGCCGACTTCTTTGATAAGTACGAGTTGCGCGCGCTGAAGCCCATCTTCAAGCTCGCCTACACACTGCAGGGCTACGGGTTCGTCGAGGAAGAGCCCATTCTGTACGGCATGCTTTGGGTTACACCACCGCTCCTGAACGGCCTGATCGAGATGCTGAAAGTACGCAAGGTGCTGCACAAGCGTCGGCTGCGCAAGCGCATGGGCACACCGCGCAGTATCACCACGCTGGAGAAAGGCTTCCGACCGCTGTTCGAGGCCATCATCGCCCGCTGCCAGGACCGCGCTAGCCTTCCAGGAAAGCAGCCATTCCGTGTCCTGCAGCAGACTGTCATTACCAAGCTTGAGCGAACGGATACGGATGTGACGGTAGAGTTTCACAGAGAGTGTACCAACGAGCAAGGCACGGTCAAGGAAAGCACTGTCACGGAAACGTAAGCTATTTGACGATGGCAGCTAGGGGTGCGTGTGTAAGGGGGGGGGGGGGGTGCTCTCTCTCTGTTTTTCTCTCTCTCTCTCTCTCCCTCTCCCCACACTCTCTCTCTCTCACACACACACACACACACCATTGGACCATTGGACGCCCATCGCTGGAGGCGATGATAGCGATGCTACAGCAGAAGCAATAGCAACTTGTGCTGGGATTGCACGATTCAACAGCTTGCAAGGCTGAGGAATTGGCCGCCACTATTCAGCCTGGTCTACACCACACAGCTATGAAGTGGCTTTTTCTGGCCAGTGAATCCCTACTTTTGGTCATTTTTATTTTTTTCCCGCACACACATCACACCACATACTCCGGTATGCACTGGCTGTTGGTAACCACCCAGGAGAATTGAAGAAAAGTCAGGAAGAGTCTGAGAAAGAGAAGAAAGACGTGTGTGACCATAATCGTCGGGAAACGAACCCGCAACCTATCGATTGGAAATCGCTGCACATACCACTGCACCATACGGGACACACTGTACTGTACTGTACTTGCTGCTCACTGCCAAAACTGGTCACGTGAGTCCCCCCGGGAGAGGGGAGAGAGACTCAAAAGGAATCTTGGAAAGATGACTCAATTGGTTATTGAACCGCCCAACGGCCGACACCCCCTGAAATCCCCAAAACGCTGGATGGACTTGAAAATGATCCCACTTATGGGCTCACCACACCTCAGTAAGTGGGTGAGGACAAGGTGCAGAAAAAGGATTGACGGTATCAGGGTATCCGTCCCGGGATCCAACTGCAGTTACCCCTGCCCCCAGTGAAGGTAATACTTGCTACTAGTGTGAGTGGCTAAATCAGAGTGGATCTGATAAAAGCTTCACTAGCACCATTGATTACACAAGAGTTAATCTAGCCAGAAGCAGTCCATGGTTAACAGGTATGTATACTTCAAATAGAAAGTATATGAACCCTGGAACCAACAAAGGTGGCAGGTACAACATTACACCTTCAAGCGGCCGAGCCTGTTGGCAACAGACCCAACACAATCAGGCATAAGTGTACCTACCAACCGAACTAGCTGGCACGGGACACACACACACACACACACACGTATCCCTGTGTTTTCTCACTGCCAGAAACTGGTCATATGGGTCTCCTGGGGAAGGGGAGAG